CTACCTACCTACCTACCTACCTACCTACCTACCTAAGTAAGTAAGTAAGTAAGTAAGTAAGTAAGTAAGTAAGTAAGTAAGTAAGTAAGTAAGTAAGTAAGTAAGTAAGTAAGTAAGTAAGTAAGTAAGTAAGTAAGTAAGTAAGTAAGTAAGTAAGTAAGTAAGTAAGTAAGTAAGTAAGTAAGTAAGTAAGTAAGTAAGTAAGTAAGTAAGTAAGTAAGTAAGTAAGTAAGTAAGTAAGTAAGTAAGTAAGTAAGTAAGTAAGTAAGTAAGTAAGTAAGTAAGTAAGTAAGTAAGTAAGTAAGTAAGTAAGTAAGTAAGTAAGTAAGTAAGTAAGTAAGTAAGTAAGTAAGTAAGTAAGTAAGTAAGTAAGTAAGTAAGTAAGTAAGTAAGTAAGTAAGTAAGTAAGTAAGTAAGTAAGTAAGTAAGTAAGTAAGTAAGTAAGTAAGTAAGTAAGTAAGTAAGTAAGTAAGTAAGTAAGTAAGTAAGTAAGTAAGTAAGTAAGTAAGTAAGTAAGTAAGTAAGTAAGTAAGTAAGTAAGTAAGTAAGTAAGTAAGTAAGTAAGTAAGTAAGTAAGTAAATTGTTTTTATGGGCAGAACATTGCAACTTATGAAGAACTTTGATTTGACAGTTCATATTCCTTTCCCCTTTCTCCATTTCCCTTTTAATACAACGTCCCCCTTGAATTACTGCTAATAAAATCTTAGAATGGCATTGCTGGAAAGGACCGTATGGGTCATCAAGTCCAGCCCTCTTAAGGAGGCATAGTGGGGAATCAAACTGTGGCTCCACAACCAGATGCCTAAACCACTGAGCTATCCAGCTTATTATTCATCCACAAATTTGTTAAGAATCAATTATTGAACTTATAGTCCTGTCATATTTATCTAATAAAAATATATAAACCAATCTCAAGATCATCCACATTAAATATTCTTCACATCTGTGTCCAAATGCCACTTCTTTGTGGAGTCTTGAGCCCTTTTTTAAAATACAGCATGCATTATAACAATCAAAGAGTCTTAAAAACCAATCTTGGCCAATTCCAAAATGAATTTTTTACTTGTCCTATTGAGAGCTTTTAAAGTTGTTTCTTTCTCTGAGATAGCTGTACTCTAGTTTCTCTTCAGATCATATAAATGTTTTTGCCTTCTACTAAAATGGTATTTTTATAAATTAAGATTCTTTCTGCTTTTACCTTTGCAGTTTTTCCTCCAGCACTTCCATGTATTTGAAAGCATTTTCCGTCAGCTTTTTCTCTATAAGAAAATACAACACAATATGAGTTCTTCTCATTGAAGAAAACTGCACGCTTCATTCAATTTTTCCTTTTTGGGGGCTTTCTGATGCAAACAGATTTATTGTTGCCGGTATCCTGTTCAATTTTCCATGTGCATAATTCTCAAAGTGAAATTGGCTGCAACTGTGTGGCGAAGTGCAGTCCCCTGCCTTGTTGTGCAAGAAGTCACAAAATGAGTTATGCAGTTACACATAGAGAAAATAAACAGGTTACTAGGATGTGTATAATAAAGATCTGCTTCAAAAATAACCGGTTGTCGGACACTAGAGACATAATTGATACAGAGGGGATTGTAATACTTAATTTGTTTGACCGTAAGTACGAGAACCCCTCAGCCAGCATTACTGCTGGCTATGCTGGCTGGGAGAGCTTGGAAGCACTGGTCCAAAAAGTAAAATTTCCTGAAGAGCAAAAGAGAGGATAAGTCAAGATCATTCTCCAAACACATAGCTGGTTGGAGAATCCAACTACGGGGCATGATATTTACAATGGCATGAAAAGAGCAGACTGAATCTAAGAATACTTCCTGATTATAAGAAAAATAAAAAAATAAAATGAAAAGAGGAAATGAAATTAAAATACATCTTATATGGATTAAATCTAAGAACTAAAAAGATACGCTAATAGAAAGTGTATTTTTGCATATTTCAACATCATTCTCTCTAAAAATGCTTTAAAAAGCCAATTTTTAGGGGGGGATTCTATGCACAGCAAATATTTATTTATTCGATTTATAGACTGACTATCTGGCAGCAAAGGCCACTCTGCGTACTTTACATGTAACATAAAACAACAAAGTAACAAAATAGCAAATAACAACCTCAATACATGGGGCAAAAATAAAAAATCATAAAGTGCAATGAGAATAAAATTGCAATACAATAAATGCAATTAAAAGTGTAGAAAAATATAAAAACATAGAGCATGGCAATATGGTATATTATTATACACTGTTCTATCAGAGTGTACTTTGTTCAGGGAATGCCTGTCTAAATAGCCAGGTTTTTATTAGTTTTTTTAATGTGCCCAACGAAGGGGCCAGGCAAATCATAAAGTGCAATGAGAATAAAATTGCAATACAATAAATGCAATTAAAAGTGTAGAAAAATATAAAAACATAGAGCATGGCAATATGGTATATTATTATACACTGTTCTATCAGAGTGTACTTTGTTCAGGGAATGCCTGTCTAAATAGCCAGGTTTTTATTAGTTTTTTTAATGTGCCCAGCGAAGGGGCCAGGCGGACTTCGGGAGGAAGAGTTCCATAGTTGTGGCGCTACCGCTGAGAAGACCTGATTTCTAGTGTTCGTCTTCCAGGCCTCTCTCGGGGGTCAGAACTCTCAACCGCCCTGCCTGGGATGATCTTGTAGGGCAGGCAGATCTAACTGGAAGGAGGCACTCGGCTAGATCTCGAGGGCCGAAACCATTTAGGGCCTTATAGGTTAGTACCATTACCTTGAAACTGGTATAGAAGCGAACAGGAAGCCAGTGTAAGGCGGCCAGGGTGGGGGAAATATGTTATTTTCTAAGCCCACACAAAGAATTGTTGGAGACATAAGTAGCCAGGGTGGGGGAAATATGTTATTTTCTAACCCCACTCAGATACTCAAAGAATTGTTGGAGACACAAGTACACACAGTTGGAAGCAAATTCGCTGCAGATGTATCAGCTCTTTGATGCACATACAATTCCATTCACTGTAAACAAACAAATAGCATTTGACTTAGCTGCCTTAACGGGTCAACAGTCACTTGATCTCAGCCATTCACCAACAAATTCCTTTTGTTCCGCACATTTCAAGACAAGAACTGAGGACAGAGCAGGTTTAAGCATAGGTTGAATTGTAGGATATACAGTGCAAACCGTGAGCTCATGCTCCCTCTCCTTCCATTTGAACATAGCATGAACTCTACCACTGAGTTGCAGTCCTCCCTCCCCCATGGATTCATACACAAGCTTACATCATCCATATGATACATCAACCAATAAAAAAAAGGAGATGAATCAATAGCATACTGGAGATCTGCATCCAAATACATTTACACAAACAACAGGACATGTTTACACACAAGGCCACACACTAAAAACTGATTCTCACATCCTCCTTTGGCACCATCTTTGTCCTGGAGTCACATGTAAGCTGTCCCTAATTCTTTTCAATAATTGCTTATTTTCTGCAGCTGAGTTCAATAGAAACAGAGACATAGCTAGAATATAATCATGCTCTTGAATCACAGGGAGTTGTTACACAAAAGTAAAAAGTAATTTTTCAGCCTGTATTTATGTGACAGTTGCAAACATTTTTCGTTAAACATAGGATAAGTTCTATGATAATGGGTAGCTTTGTGCTCCTGCTTTTATTGCTCTTCATCTCAATCTCATCATTACATGGCCTTCGAATGTGACACTTTCCAACGTGGGAGTCCTTCTCATCTTCCTATAAAATGTCAATAGATATTAATAATTGGAAGGGAAGGCAGGAAGATCTGTTTCACACTTACTTTGTTTCCAGCTAATGCCACAGTGTATTATGTTACATGAATGATAAACCCTAGTTTCAGTTTCTCCTGCTGTGCTGGCTAGATTTTAATTGGATATTATCTGATACAGTAATTCTTACTTTTCACAGTTGTAGTCCTTTCCATGTGTGCAATTTTGCAATGCCCTTGAAGCACATAGCTTTTAAAAAATCAGCTCTATTCAATTAGAAAAAAAAATGTAAAGGAGAAGAGATCACCACTGGGCAAAAGTAGGTCACCTATAAGCTGGAAAAGACAGGCAGGGCATAGACACTTATCTCCTATCAAACATTTTTCATTAGATTAAAAGGACATCAAATTATCCTTTGTACTTACATGGAGTATATATTCCCTCCCTTAATTTACAGTTTATGCATTTGGTCACTTTCCTTTATACACCTGCAGAATCCCAAGAGTTGTTCTTTCCTACCCACACACAAATTATGCAACTACACATATTCTGTAAATGGATAAAAGGGTTTATTTTCAAATACATTCAGTGGGTAAAATCCTGTTGCCTAGTATAGTAAGTTACAACTAGAGATGGGTATAAATTAAAAAACAGTTGCAAAATTTGTCAAAAATCACTAATTCATTAATTCATATTTGTCCAAAGCAATGGCCCAGACAAAAATGGATCAATGAATTTTTAGTGATTTTTGATTCAATAATTCATTGGACTATAAAATGACACACACACCTAGGCACCTAGAGACATCAAAATCACAGAGATGGTTCCTCTGATTGTCCCTCCAGGTTTGGTCAAGACTGGGCTTCTGGCGTCTGAGTTATACACCCCAAATAGAAGCTTCCCCTAACTTTCCTCTACAATCCCTCCAAGTTTGGTGAAGACTAGGTTTCCTCCAAGCCAGCTGCTAAAGGGCACTTTCCTGGAGGACCCAGTTCATGGATGTATAACTCTCCACAAACAGAGGGTCTGAAACCCTCTAAAAGGCATACCATTTGTGTGCCAATGAAAAAGCATTTGGCATCTACTTTCATCCTGGTCAGACTCTAGTGGGGAACTATCTGTGGCTTTCTAGTTGTTATTGGACTGTGACTACATTCTATATCTTTTGTCTTCTGAAGTGTTAGCTACGCCTCCCAGCTATGGGTCATTTTCAAATTTAAGGAATATCCTCCCTAGAACTTCATCTGTTTAGGGAAATGGTGAACAACATCAGGCCTAGGACAGATCCCTTTTGCACCTCACTGGTCACATTTCTCCAGAATAATGAGGATCCATTGCCAAGTGGTCTTTGGGTATGACCCATCAAGCAGCTACATCCACTTAATGGAAACATCATCTAGCCCACATTTTAGCTGTCTAGTCACTACCCCATCTTTGTCAGTCTTTCCTCCTATGGAATTCAGATCAAGGTGTACAAGAAACAGGGACATGAGTGCAAAGCAAACAGCTCTAGATGGCCAATGAATTGGCCATCCAGATGTGCAGGAAAAGTTGCAGAGAGAGACAAACAAGAAGAAGAAACAGAAAATAAACAAAAACAGGACATGAGTGCAAAGCAAACAGCTCTAGATGGCCAATGAATTGGCCATCCAGATGTGTAGGAAAAGTTGCAGAGAGAGACAAACAAGAAGAAACAGGAAATAAACAAAAAGGAGTCGTTGTCCAGTTAAACGTTCTATAACAATATGACCAAACTTTATGTCTAAATGCACAATGGTCCCTTTTAGGACCAGTTACCCATTTAACTAATCATAAATGGCTATCATGAAGGGCAACCAAGATAATTTGGTGGTCGAGAAACACAAGCCTAGACATATCATTATTTAATTTTTTTCTGATGCAAATGCTTCAATACTAAAAACACATTCCAGTCATATTGAAAAGTAGCTTGCCTCTTTAGCGATCATAGCTGCTGTGTAAGTGTTCATAAGCAAATCAGCGGTTGTCTTAGATCTTTTTAAACCTTGGAACCCTCTCATCTTCATGCCTATTCTGCATATGTGTTTTAGGTGCTTATTGGTGGGCCAGCTGTGCCTGTAGAACAAGAGTGGCAACCTGAGTACTATGCTGGCTTCAATCCTGGACTGCACTGTTACACAAATGAATGACTGCACGGCAGCCTGTCTGATAAATACAGACTGCAGTCAGAAACATCTCCTCTGGATATTCACTGAAATGAAAAAGTCAACTGGCAGAGTCCCATGCCAAGCTCTTTTTCCCCTCATGGGACTTGTACTGCTGTTCACTGAGTTGGCTATTCTTGTTTATATACTTGAGACGATTCCAAGCACTCAAAGTCTCCTTTTCATCCAAGCGAACAGGAAATTTTCTGCAGTCATATTACTCATCCAGAAGATCTTAACTCATTACTGAGTCTTGCCAAGAATGATGACACCAATAAGAAATGTGTGAAAGAAACTGATAGTGCTCTGCTTTTGAAATCCTAGCTATTCAAGGGTTGAGCACA